CCCGAATCCCCCCCCCAAAATCCCCAACCTTGAAGGTTGTCGAGGCTCTAGGAAGAAGCCCAAGCCCCCGACGAACGGAATTTCAGCGGCAGCAATGCCAAACAAGCGTTCCGTTTTTCGGGCTCATCGCATGAAGTCTAACGAAGCCGCCACCTTGTTCGATCGATGGCCTCCAGGATGGCTCAGGACGGCTCAAGACAGCCCAAAGACCGCCTCGAATACCTCCACGAATGTCCAATCAGAGCTTCGATACGGCTCCAAGACATGAAAGATGAGGAGGAGGAGGAGGAGGAGGAGGAGGAGGAGGAGGAGGAGGAGGAGGAGGAGGCGGAAGAGGAGGAGGGATGGCATGGCGGAACATGCAGATACCATAAACATGCCCGTGCCGCTGGTCCCCAGACCTCTCCCAGGGGTGCGTTCCGACCAAGGTCTCGGGGCGAAGCCAATCGTGGCGACGAAGCCCCCTCCCAGACGAGCAGCGGTGTCGGTGTCTTCTACTCGTTGCAGCTTGTTCTTCATGCATGGGCCCCCGGACCTCTCGGCCCCTTCCCATTGGCCCTTGGACAAGCGCGTTCCACTACTCGCAAACGGCCTGGATCCGCCGCGCGAGACTTACGATATACTACGCAGAGGAAGGCATATTTCTGTCGGACGTTTGCGAGTAGGCACTCTGCGAGTAGAAGATCGCGCCTGGTCATCCAGGGCCGGTGGTCCATCCCGCGTCGTTCTGTCGCGGTGCCGGGGCCCGATGCCCGCCTCACCGGCTCACCAGGCCGGAAGTGGCGGCACATCGGCCGCCCAGACCTCTCCCGAGGCACTGGAGGCCTTGGCAGGAGCAGGAGCTGACGGGCCCCCCTCTTCCACCAGCCACTGCCATAGGCAGGAGGAGGAGGAGGAGGAGGAGGAGGAGGAGGAGGAGGAGGAGGAGGAGGAGGAGGAGCACCTCCCGATCCTCCCCTCTCCCCCGCCCTGCAAGTGGCAGTGCTGGTGGGCACGCTGCCCAGCAGGCGCCGCCGCGGGCGCGGAGGGGCCCGCGCGGCCTGCAGAGGGCCGCCAAGGGCATGCCCGGCTCGGCCGGCACCAGCGGGGGCAGCTCCTGGGACGGCCTCGCGGGGGTTTGGGGGTGCTCCTCCTCCTCCGCCTCCGCCTCCGCCTCCGCCTCCGCCTCCTCCTCCTCCTCCTCCTCCTCCTCGGCGGCGGCGGCGGCGGGGGGCGGGCACCGGCTGGGCGGGGAGCGCGGGGCGGTGCGGCAGTTGCGGCGCGCGCTCCGCTGCCCTGGGGAAGCTGTGGTCTTGCTCCCCGTAGACAGGTCTAGGTTGAACCCGCAGCTTGCCTCCGTGTGTAGTGCGTGAGTGCACGCAAGCAACAGATGCGCGTATACACATATACGGATGTATGCATGCACGTACGTATGTACGTACGTATGTATGTATTCATATATACATCTACGTGTGTATGTGTGCACGTAGGTATGTATGTGTTATGAATGTATGTTTGTATGTGTGCATGCATGCATGCATGTATGTATATATGTATGTATACGTATGTATACGTATGTATGCACGTATGTATGTACGTATGTATGTATGTATGTGTGTATGTATGTATGTATGTATGTATGTATGTGTGTAGATGTATGTGTGTATGTGTACATGCCTGCATGTATGCACGGATGTATGTGTGTCTGTAGATGTGTGTGCATGTATGCTTGTATGTATGTATGCGTTTATGCATGTATGTGTGTACGTACATATGTATGCATGTATACATGTATGTGTATGTGTTTGTGTGTGCAGGTATGTGCATTATCATATCGGTGTGTATGGCTGTTTGTGTGCATGCAGGTATGTGCGTGTATGTATGGATGCATGTATGTATGTGTGCATGCATGCAGGTGCGTGCATGTAGGTATGTGCATATATGTATGTATGTATGTATGTATGTATGTATGTATGTATGTACGTACGTACGTACGTACGTACGTACGTACGTACGTATGTATGTGTGTATGTATGTATGTATGTATGTATGTATGTATGTATGTATGTATGTATGTTAGTGTGTGTATGTATGTATATATGAATGGGTGTATGTATGTATCTATGTATCGGTAATCACATGCATGTATGTATGCACATGTGCATGTCGGTGTGCACGTAGGCGTGTATACATGCATGCATGCATGCATGCATGCATGCATGCATGTATGTATGTATGCATGCATGCATGGATGTATGTATGTATGTATGTATGCATGCATGCATGCATGCATGCATGTACGTATGTATGTATGTATGTATTTATGTATGTATGTATGTAGGTATGTATGTATGTATGTATACATGCATGCATGTATGTATGTATGTATGTATGCACGCAAACACGCGTGCATATATGCATGCATACATACATGATTGTATGCCTGCGTACATGTATGTATGCATTTACGTAAATGAGCGCAGAAAGCATGTATGAGTTTGCTATCTTTCTCTTTATCGCTCTCAACGCTCGTCCACTCCTGCTCCTCCTCCGACTCCGTCTCCTCTTCCCCCCTGCCTCTTCTTCACCGTGCACCTCTCCCTCCTCCCCTTCATGCTACCCGCTTCTCTCTCTCTCTCGCTCTCTAGTTATATGCCTCTTTCTTTTTTTTTTTTTGTTCTCTCTCTCTCTCTCTCTCTCTCTCTCTCTTCTGTTTCATTAATATCCCTCTCTCTCTCTCTTTTTTTGTTCTCTCTCTCTCTCTCTTCTGTTTCATTCGTATATATTTATATATCTCTTTCTTTTCTCTCTCGAAGGTCGAGCCTGACGTCTTTGGCTTTGGTGGCGACCTTGGCCCCAAACCCGGACACCTCACTGCCGAGGCCACCCGCGAGCCCCCCTGCGCGCCAGGGAGGGGGGTCCAGCGCGGGTCAGAGAAGTCCGCGCGGACCTCAAAGTTTTTATGTTCATGGCATTCTTCGTTCTCCTAGGGAAAGGGTCCAAGGGGAGATTTACCTTGTGTGAGGCACCTTGTCTTTAGGACCCAATCTCTCAAGACCTCATCTCTGAACCACCGACAGTGGGCTCTGCCCTGGCAGAGCAGGACGCGCCGTCACACCCACGCTGGCACGGGCTCGCCCGCGTCACACAGCCTGCGGTGGCTGCCGCGCCCACCGCCGCAACGCCCGCGGCCGCATGGGCTGACCACCTCGCCAACCACGCGGCGGCTGCGACCACGCCGACGGCCGCGCGTGCCGACTTCCACGACTACAGCGTCGGGCGTTGCTTTATGGGGGGGCGATGACATGGGGAGAAACGTGCTCCTTTCGTGCCCCTTTTGGGCCCCCAGAGCCCCCTTGGGGCCCAAGAGGTGCACCTGTCTTCAGCCCCGATGTACCCCCCCCCCCCCCCGCATACGCAACGCTCGGCAACGACCGACGCGCAGACCTCCGGCCGGCCGGCACGCCAGCAACGTCGGCTGACCCAGGCAGGCGCCGCGCGGGCCACCGTGCGCCGCTCCGGAAGCATTCCCTGGACCGCAGGCCCGCCCGCTGCGGCCCCCCATGTGCACGGTTTCCCCTGGGGCCGTAGGCGACCCGAGGAGGAGGAAGAGGAGTAGGAGGAGGAGTAGGAGTAGGAGTAGGAGTAGGAGTAGGAGTAGGAGTAGGAGTAGGAGTAGGAGTAGGAGTAGGAGTAGGAGTAGGAGTAGGAGGAGGAGGAGGAGGAGGAGGAGGAGGAGGAGGAGGACGGGTCGCCTGAGCCCTTCGGAGCAACCCTCCACCCCCATGGCCCCTGACGCCCCAGGGCCCTGCGCAGCCTGGTCCCCGAGGCCCCTCCGAGCTCGCTGCCCCCGCCGCCCAGGCGGCGGCTCTGCTGGTCGAGCTCCACGGCCTCCAGGCCCAGGTGCGGCATGTCCAGCAGAACTAGGCAGCTCGTGCAGCCGAGGCACAACGCGAAGGGGCGGCTCTCCCCGCCGCTCCTGCCCTCACTTCCCTGCCCGCGCCTGCAAGTGTCCCATCTGGCTCCGCCAACGCTTCCCTTCCCGGCTCGTCGGCGACGGCGGGTCACCCCGCCTCCTCCTCCTCCTCCTCCTCCTCCTCCTCCTCCTCCTCCTCCCCCTCCTCTTCCGTCCTCTCTCCTCCTCCTCCTCCCCCGCGGCAGCCCATGGCTGCCCGTCTCGCCCACAACCTGCTGCAATCGCTCCGCCCCAAGCTCACGGTCTGGCTCCCGTGGCTCTGTGGGCGCCCCTGCATGGCGCCACGAGGGGCGAGAGCCCGCCTGGGGGGGTGGTCGAACCGCCCCCGCCACATCCGCACGCCTTTTGTCAGGCACGCAACTCTCCCTGCCCGTCGTGCTGGCATAGCACAGTGGGATGCAACGAGACATACTAATATACTATACGTCCTCCTTGGAGGCTCGCGTCCGACCCGAACACATGGTATACCCATCTTGTAGTATCTCGTTCCCGAGCTCCTCGGTGCGCGCGTCGCCCCTGGAGGAGTAGGAGGATGATGATAATGAGGATGAGGATGAGGATGAGGATGAGGATGAGGATGCTGCTGCTGCTGCTGCTGATGATGATGATGATGATGATAATGATGATGATGAGGATGATCATGATGAGGATGATGAGAATGATGAGGATGAGGAGGAGAAGGGTGAGGGGTGCAGCCGACACAAGGTCCGCGTGCCGCGGCGGCTCCTCTGCGCGCTCCCCAAATGTAGCCGCCGGCACCTGCCCGAGGGTGCCGAGCACGAGCGGTGCTGGTACCCGCGGCGCCAAGGACGGGCCCGACTGCCGGCGTACTCGTGCGCTCTCGCTGTGTGAGTGCTAGGGTGAGTGAGTGTGTGTGTGAGAGTGAATGAGTGAGTGCGTGCGTATGTGCGTGTGTGTGTGTGTGTGTGTGTGTGCGTGTGTGAGTGAGTGTGTGTATGCCGCTGCTGGGACTTGCCTGGGCGGGCCTGGCTTCCTCTCTTCCCGCCTGCGCTTGGCGTCCTCTCCTCTTCCACCGTGCACCGCGGCTCAATTTGCATCTAGCGCGCCCCACTGATGCCCGATCGCCGGAGCAGTAACCTCTGCCCAGCCGCCGACGCAAACAGTGTGTGAGTGTGAGTGTGTGTGTGTGTGTGCGTGCGTGCGTGCGTTCGTGCGTGCGTGTGTGTGTGTGTGTGTGTGTGTGTGTGTGTGTGTGTGTGTGTGTGTGTGTGTATTTTGTTTGTTATATATATATATATATATATATATATATATCTCTCTCTCTCTCTCTCTCTCTCCATGTCGATTGGTCTGTCTGTATCTTCATCTGTCCGAACCTGTCTGTGTCTGTCAATCGCTGTCCGTCGTTGTCTGCCTGTCTGTCCCGTCTCCCCCCCCCCTCTCTCTCGAACAATCGAACCTCCTCCTCTCTCGCTAGGCTTCCAATCCCCTCTCCCTGGCCTCCACGCGTTCTTGCTGCGGGTCTTTTTGCCCCACGCTTCGTCCCAGACCTTCAGGTGGATCTTGGAGCTGCCAGGCCAAAATACCCCGACCCACCTGGCAGGGGCGAGCTATTTTTAAGTCGGGCCTGTCCCCCTACAGGGCATTTTGGACGAAGAACGAAACATAGTCAAACAATGCTAGAACATAGTAAGACACATCGGTCCCAGACTATTTCTGTGACTGTTTTTGCATATTCCTCCTGCCGAGGGACAGGCCCGACTCAAAGCTATGTCCGCTGGCAACCACAGGAGGAGAGAGGGCGGAGGGCGAGGGATGGGGACACGGGGGAGTGGGGAGGGGGTGTGGGGCGCACTGAGGAGGGACAGCGGGGATGGGGGAGGGGGGGCGTGCGGGCACGGGTGGAGGAGGTGCGAGGACCTCGGGGGAAACGCCAGGCACGGGCAGGGGCGCGGAAGGGGGGGGGGGGGGGAAACGGAGAGGGAGGGGCGAAGGAGCGGCGCTGCGAGGTCGGGAGGGTCGGGCGCAGGGCGAAGGGGCGGGGGAGGAGGCAGAAGAGGGGCCCGGAGGGGGGGGGGGAGAGGGCATGGAGGAGCGGCAGCGAAGAAAATGGGGGAGGGAGGCCAGGAGGGGTGCGCACGATGAGCGAGCGTTAAAGGAGAAGGACAGAGGGAACTCGAGGAAGGACGACGGGGGCTGGTTGGATGGAGGAGGGAGCACGGCGAGGAGGGATGGTCAGATGGAAGGGCAGCAGGAAGGAGGAAAGAGGGAGGGCTAGTGAATGGGGGATGCGGGAGGGGAGGGAATGAGGGAGGGACTGAAGGAGAAGGAGGGAAAAGAGAGTGTGGCGGGACGGAAGAGAAACGACGGAAAGAACAGGGTATGGACGAATGACGGGGACTTCATCCAAGCCAGCTCGGATGGCATCCGACCAAGGCAGGCACAGCCAGTACAGACAAGGAGAATGGCAGGCACGGCTCAACCGCCTCCCCTCTCCCTTGGGGCCACCAAGCTGCGCGGATGAGGATTTGGCCGCTGAGCAGCTAGGTTCTCATCAACGCGACGAAGCACTCCGCAACGCTACTCGACGTCGTCGTCGCCGAAGCTCCTCCTCCTCCTCCTCCTCGCTCGGTCGTCCATTCCCCGCGCGTTTTTTGTTCACAGGGTGAATTAAGGTGCTCCTCGATGGTCCTCGCCGAGAAAGCATGCACACGTCCGAACGATACCAAGCCAGATGGGGTCGGAGCAAATGGGGTCGGAAGATCGCGCTGCATTGTCGACGCATCACCGAGGCATCGGCAGCGTTGGCGACACATCAGCGTCGTCGGCGTGGAGAAGATCAGGCTCCACATGGAGACGCATCGCCGATGCGGCGCGATCCCCCGAACTCATCTGCTCTGACCACATCTGGGAGGCTTAGACCCTTCCCCTCGCCCCGGCCCGCCATGCTGGAATGATAAAGGCACAATAAGGACAGTGTGGACGCGACGATGCCTGCTCGCCCCGAAACAACTAGCACGCGTGCGACCTTCAAATGGGCTCGCGTGAACGGAGTCGCCTCGATTGAGCAGGGACCGACCGTCCCGGCATTCCTATAGTCCTACCGCGAAATGTTCTTAGAACCCAGCAATGTTCTAATAACAAACAAGGCTCTTAGAACATGAACCCGACGTGTGAAAACAAGACAGCCTCGACCAGAACTGTTTTCAGAACACTTCGTGCAGACCACACAAGGTTCTTGGATCGTTCTTAGGTCGGCCTACAGGCGAGCCAGGACGCTTCGCCACTGCTAGACTCGATGCGTTGAGTGAGAGGGCGGGAGGAAGAGGCCGAAGAGGATGGCGTTATTAGGGGAGAAGAGCTTGGAGGGTGCAGCACGAGGCACACAAGCGCCAAGGCCTCGAGGGCGAGCGTGGCGAGCAGAGGCCGGCGGGCAACGACAGCACGGGACGCGGCGTGCCACCCTGGTCGGCCGCAGGCGGCCAGCGTGGTGTTCACGTTGATGCCCTTCTCCTGGAAGACCTCGTACGAGAAGTTCTTCCAGTCGGTGGAGTTGTGGGAGAGGTGGTGGATCGCGCCGTTGCCTTCCCGCGCGCGCGCGCGGACCCCCGGCACGGCTGCGGGGGAGGCCACGCCGAGGACGAGCAGAGCGAGCGCCCCGCCGCACGCTGCTGCGATGCGCGCTCGACGCTCGTGCCTCGCCCCCTCCCCGCTCTTCCGGCCCCACCTCGTCTTTTGGACTCTGGAGGCCCCCAAAATCAGGTCGGGCGTGTCCTCCTTCAGGCCGACTCTTGACACATAAAAACACACTCCAACAATGCCAAAACATCTTAAACAATAGCAGGCACTTCCCCCCATAGTAACCACCCCGACGCGCGAAGCCGTTTACTAAACGCCCCCCACTGAAGGAATCGAACAGGGCAAGACTGTTTAGTAAACGCCCACGGCCGTTTAATACACGCCAATTGTCCGGTCCAGGTGTTTTTTCCTCCCTTGACGTCCGGCCCCATCTGTCTTTTGGACTTTGGAGGCTTCAAAACGGTGCTATCACAGACCAGGCGGTGACCTCGGAATCCTCAAAGACCTCGCCGCACGCTCCTTCGCCGCACCGTTCTGCGACCTCGGAGGCCCTACTTGCACGCACCATCTAAAAACCGCCACCACCACCAGAAGATCTCACGATAGAGCCACCACCACCAGTCTGGTGTTGTTTGCTTGAGCTGTTCTGTCCAAGAGACGACCCCGAATGAGCGAACAACTGCAGAACAAGACCTGCTACGAGACGCCCAAACATCGCCAAAAGGTAGCCCAACGAGCTCCCAGGGGCCCCAACAACTTCCCACGACCTTCCGAAAGGCAAAACAAACCATCAACACTGTCACAGCGGATATATACGACGCAACCAAACTGGAGGCAACCCTCGTGTACGGCAGGCTCGCGGTCGTCAAACTGGCCACGGCGGGCTTGGAGGACAGCGGCGAGAAGGATGACCAGGACATAGGCCAGCCACCCCGAGGCCTGTTAGCTCTGCCGTGCCCCATTGCCGATTAGACCTGCTCGGCGTCTCCCGAGGAGCGGGGCGGAAGGTGGAAGGTGAGGGAGGCGGAGCTGGAGAGGAGACGGGAAGGGGGAGGAGGAGGGGGGGGGAGAGGGAAGGGGGAAGAGAGGAGGGGGCAGGTGGTGGTGGTGGCATGCTATAAGAGATGGGGGCCATCCAGCATGACATACTACTCTAAACGCAGCAGCGGAGCAAGAGGGCAGGAACTCAGGCAAGGACGACGACAAAGTAAACCTCGTTCAAGAAGATATCACATACGCTAGCAAGATTCTTGGATTCTCCCAATCTCCATAAATGTACTCCTCCTCGGTTCTGCTCTGTGGCGGCTGCAGGTGAGGAACAAAACGCCTTTCAAATGCAACCTCGGTTCTGCTATGTGAAGCTGAAGGTGAAGAACAAAACGCCTCTCAAATGCGACCACGGTTCTGCTCTGTGCGGCTGTAGATGAGGAACAAAACGCCTATCAAATGCGACCTCGGTTCAGCGCTGTGAAGCTGTAGGTGAGGAACAAAACGCCTCTCAAATGCAACCTCGGTTCTGCACTGTGAAGCTGTAGGTGAGGAACAAAACGCCTCTCAAATGCAACCTCGGTTCTGCTCTGTGAAGCTGTAGGTGGGGAACAGAACGCCTCTCAAATGCAACCTCGGTTCTGGTTAGCGAAGCTGTAGGTGAGGAACAAAACGCCTCTCAAACGCAACCTCGGTTCTGCTCGGTGAAGCTGTAGGTGAGCCTCAAACACTAGCACGATCTTTAGATTCCCCCAGCCGCCAAAGGATGTACTCCTCCTCATACGCCTTCCACGCATATCTATCTAGAGCCAATTCCATCCAGTGAATACGTCGAGGATAATAGAATCTAGTCAATTGATATTCCCAGACACATTGCCACGAAAACTTCGGAAAACCCTGTTTTTCTCTTTCTCTTTGTTCAGTTACAGCGTGTTGGTGAGAATTCCAGTTCAGAACATGACCCATAATAGAATCAGGATTCTGATGAGCTTTACGTGCGATATGGCCAGCATACCTATGAAGACGACGCCATACTATCACATCTAGGTCCTGGATGTGTTCAGCAATCTTGAGTTTCTTAATCTGCGACCTGACCGACCGAGAATACGATTCATCAGTTTCTTCTGGTAGACGAGGCCAGCGTATGTGACGAGCAAATTGTTTTGTCTGAGCCGCACGCAAAGCCAATGCCTTGCGTCGGCATAGATTCCAGACTGGTGAACACCATAAGCACGAAGATGATACCGTACGGTGAATTAAGCGAAATCTAGATATACGAGTGCTTGACGGACTAGAAAGTAAGTGCTGGACAGATCCCACCACTGATGTAGCCGTGAGCGTTTTAGTGCGAACATCTTGATCCAGTTGTCCACGAGCGTTCATCCATATGCCAGTGGTCTTCATCGCCTTATCATGCGGGATAATCTCAACAGCAGGCCATATCTTGGACCAAGGATGTTTTTCCTTGGTATTGTTCACCAAGAGCGCGATACGATCTCCAGGAAGGTCCCAGCCATAAAGAACAAGTGCTGCACGACATCTCTTCCATATCTCACGCGCATCCACGATACTGTTGGCCAGTATGAACAGATTGTCACTCCAAACCAAGAAGGGAATAAACTTGAAATTGCACATTCTGCACCACTTGGAATAATGCTGACCACGGTAAGCAACATCCAGCATCGCAATGCCAAGTCGATCTGCCACACACTTCTGCCATGCTGGGTGTAGACAATCAGTGAGCACCATTTTGAAGAAAGCCGGCCCCCAAGCAGACCCTTGAGGAACGCCGCGAGTAATGGGTGACGTGGTAGCCGTGTCACCCACCAAGTGAACATTATATCGAGTAGATCGTAAGTGTCTGAGAAACCAAGCAGCAATAAAATCTGGTACACCTCGCCTTTGAAGGGATTGAAGCGCGCGAAGATGGCATACAAAATCAAAAGCCTTAGGAATTTCAGCAGAACCAGCAACAAAACCAAGTCCCCCATGCATGCACTTCTGAGCCATCATCATAATAATGAACACCATGTCCATGACGCTGTGCCCCTCACGATAAGCAAATTGCCAGGGAGCGATGTCATGAATCTTATCCTTGATAGATTCAAGAAGGGCACCTCCCACCATCTTTGGAAGGACTGGCATAATCGCCAGCGGCCTTAGCAAGTTGAACCAAGTGACCAAGCTCTCCTTCGGAACCAATGCCAAATCACACAAAGTCCGCTGGGTGTCCATGCGCGCAGCCGCAGCATGTAGGGGGCGATCAGCCAAGCACTGTCTCTTCCGCAACACGTCGTGACTATGGTCGAGCTGAAGACGATGAGGCATAACAGTGCAGAACTCACCACGAAGATCACGATCAATGGCTTCTTTAAGTGTCCAAAATGGGTTCTCCACTTGCGTGCCCTTCGACGGTAAAATAACTGACAGAGGGGCGTCGCGAACTTCTTCGTTTTCTGCACACTCCAAGAGACAATGGCAGCATCGAGTACAAGAGTGTTGTAAGCCAAGTGTGAGGGGGCTACATAGATCGTAGTGGTCATTAGCTTCATTTGCCAGAGAGTCTGCAACCTTGTTGAAACAGCGACGGACATGACGGATGCGAACCCTTCCCAGCCGAGCGATGAGAGCAAGAGCCGATGATCGATAAGCCCACGTACGACTGTCTAAGACAGACCATAGTCCCGCAAGCTGGTTAACGACTGGGTCACAATCACCTTCGATAACGAAATCAGATTGAACATCCTCGTTCCGATACCCAAGAGCGATCTCCAGGAGGAAAAGTAACCCATGCCATTCAGCATCAATCGAAGAGCTCCCAGGAGAAAACCGATGTGAGAAGCGAAACGTTTCCACCCCCATACCATCATATAGAACACAGCCACATCCAGCATTGTCCTCATCACGCCGAGCCCCATCAAACTGTCCGACCCAGGCTCTTCCATAAGCCCCAGGACCCATATCCCCAAAGTCAATAGTTTTTGGCATAGCTGAGGGGGCGGCGGCACCTTGCATGGCAATGGCCTGCAGCATTTCGGCAACAACCATATCTTCAGAGCAGCACGACTTACGAGGCTTAAGTAGCATAGTACACTTCAGGAGGTGAGATATGTTGAAGGTATTGTCTATCTTGAACTTGCCATAGATCCAGGAGGGAATGTTAAGGAGGTTGGAGCGAGATTCAGAGAACTGCTTGCTATAATACTTCTGACCAACATCGACAAACTCCGACGGGTTCGTGATGGACCGATCTTCTTTTTCAGGATCCCTCAGGGCCAGTCTGCCTGAGGTGCCAGAGGCCTTCTTGCCCCAGCCCCCGGCTCGCAAGTTGCTTAGAACAGCCTGAGACGCCGCGTGATGCTTAAGGTCGCGCAGCCGTCGTCTCTCAGCCCATACTTTACGAGCGCGTGCAATCTTCTCAGCCTGAGTGGGAGCCTGTCGCCAAGCCGCCTCCAGAGCATGAAGAGGTACACGATCCTGACGCGCAGCAGCCCGAGCACTCATACTCTTCCCAGTGTTGACTGCAGCCTTCCCAATGGTTCTCGAGAAGTCCTCCAGCGTCGTATCCGAGGTGAGTGAAGAAGCTATCCCTGAAATATACTCCTCAGGTTGCTGAACTCGCCATCCGAGAGGTTTCTTCTCTCGCCAAACGCGTTCGCGTTGACATTCGTACTGCGTGATGAGCATGCGGTGGTCCGTGATCGTCGCAGCAGTGTCCAGAACTTTAGTCTGTCTTACTCTTGCCCGACATGCTTTGGAAACCATAAAGCCATCAAGGAAAGAGCCGTGGTACAAGGTCTGGTCCGATCCAAACGCATACCTGGTAGGTGCACCTCCCCGAGGACAAAAGGTGTGAGAGAAAGCCAGCCCGTACTGCATTGCTAATAGGAGAAGCCACTCTCCACGTTCATTTCGTGTGCCACCCGAGAAGTCCCCAAGATACTGATCCTCCTCGTGAAGTTCTTTAGGGCCAAGCTCAGCGTTAAAGTCAGCACCCAAGATGAGAGTATCACCAGGC